AAAGAGGAAGAGGTAACAGCAGAACAGGCAGCGCTGAGGACACAGCAGTGGGACGGGGAAAAGGCTCTTCTAAGAGGCTGCTTATGTAGTTAAGGCCAAACACAAGTCCAAGAGCCAAAGAGAAGTGATGTAACCCTTAAAACAGCTCCAGTTCATACAGTTCACATTAATATTGATGTTAACATGTCTCTGACACTGTGACACACTGACAGGGAACCACGCTTCCCACAGACAGGGCTCCTCAGGGTTCTGTCTCTGCACTACCACAGTAGCCCTTGGGCAAGCTGCAGCCCACAGAATCAGCACAGAGATGGGCCAGTAACTGCAGGGCTGGGCTGCCCCAGCCCCCGGGAGCAGGCAGTGCTGGCTCCACAGGGTCTCTGCCCTGAGGAAGTGCTGCAAACAGCTGCCCAGGGAAGACACCACCTTTCCCCAAGAAGGTGTTACCCTGGATGGAAAATGGGCTACCTGGGCTAAATCTTTCAAGCCTCAAGCATATTCCCTGTGACTTTTTTTTAACCTGGAGCACTTGAGGAACCTGTGGTTGGAAGTGCCAGGGGAAAACTCTAAGAGGGGCAAGTATCCCAGGGGTGTTGTTACTGCCCAGGAGCTGGGGTAGCACCAAGTTGCTGGGGGCTGCAAGTCAGGAGCACACATCTCCAGGAGCAGCTTTTGCTGCATCCAGCAGCTCTGGCAAGCCCCTGTGTGGGATTAGGCAGGGGGGCAGCCCTCCACAGCGCTGAGCTGCCCTGGGAGCAGGACCCTGTTCCTCTCTGGGTTGAGGACACCAGGTCATTGCTTGTGGCTTTGGGAAACCAGGTGCTTCCCAGCCTGTCACACTGTCCACTGTCTCTTCTCAGGCTGGTCAGATGTGAAACCCCAGCTCTGAGAGCTTCAGGGTGAGATTTATCTTTAAAGGTAGCAGTGCCTGCCCAGTTTTCAGGGTCATTCCCACTCCCTTCCTACTCACCACCACATAGATGGGAATGGTGCTGCTGGGCTTGAAGTCCTCCAGCCGGCACAGCACAGGAAAGACCTTGTACTTCCAGATCTCCACAGAGATCAACTCCCCAATGAGAACAGGAATCTGGACAGGGAAGGGATGTCAGAGCAAAGCCTTTCAGACCAGTGTGGAGTGGGAACAGTTTCATTGCTAATGCTGAGCCACAGGCTTTGGAGTCACCCCAGGGAGTAGAGGGGCCTTGGGGCATGCTGGCTTTGTATTCAGGCAGCTCAGAAACCAACAGCTTTTCCCCAAAAGACCAGAGGGCAGACAGAGCTCCCAGGGCTGCAAAGGGGGGAGGACCCTGAGGAGCTGGGCAGGTCCAGATCACCACACATCCCAGCACAGCCCAGCATGCTCTGGGGAAGCAACACCCTGGGAAGCAACACCCTGGGAATCAGAGGGGCTGGTGCATGAAAGGAAGAAAATACCCTCCAGGGAGGGTAGAGACCAGCAAGTAGAAATACCACAGCTTGAACTTTAATTTTTTTAGAAAGCAACACTGGTGAGTCACCAGTCAAAACTCTTTGCCAGAGATACAGCAGATTTTTCACCATTTTATTCCAAACTTGCACACTGCCCACCAGTCAACCCCAGCCTGGGGGTCCCACAACCACAGAGCCTCACCTTGGCGTGGGTGACCAGCAGCTCGATGAGGAGCTGCTCCTGGCCCGCCTGGGCGCTCAGGATGGCATGCATGTTGAGCTTTGCCACATACTCGTGTTGCTGAAGCCATCTGCAGGGCAGCCAGCATGGACATCAGTGCCAGAGACCTCTGGCTACGGGTTTTGGGGCTCTATGGCACTCCTGGAGAGGGTCCCTCATGAAGGGAAACCTGCCACCAGCACCTCCATTCCAAGGAAATGCCCCAAACCTGCCAGGCACCCCAACATGCTACACTGTCCCCCGTGCCAGCAGCCCCCAGGGAAGCAGCTCTACCTGTGGTAGCCCCAACCCTGATGCCCCCAGCAACACACACCATGAGACACCTTCACCAGGGACACCCCAAAACTCAAGAGTCCTCCTCTCCATCACCTTGTCCCACACAGACCCTCTGGGGATACATCAGATCTGGGGCCTTTCCTTGTGTGTTTCCTCCTCTCCCTCCCAGACCTTCCAGGAAGGCTCCAGAAGTGGGGACTCTCCTCTCCCCCCACCCCACTTCCTCTCTACCCTAAACCTTCAGAGGACCCTTCCTTCCCCTCCCCCAGCCTCTCTAGGGAGGCCCCAGAACCGGGGCCTCTCCTTTTCCCCAACAGCCCCAGCAGGAACATCCCAAATTTAGAGCCCCTTCCTCGTGAGCCCCCCCAGACCCTCAGGGCACACCTCAGAACCACTCCCCCTACCCCCTCACCCCCCGTTCTCAACAAAGCCGTGTCCCCGCACCGTTGACC